AGCTAGAAGTGGAAATAAGCAATCAAAAGAAGCAGCAGTTGAAAGAGAGACCAAACAAAAGAAAATGCACCGAGAATAAAGGAACTGAAGAGGGCAGAGATGGAGCAAATTCGTGCTGAGAACAAAGTGAGAGGAATGCGAGGCAGGCCCAGCCACACAAACCAAACCAGACAGCTCCAAAGACAAAGGGAAAGGGGAACAGAAATAGCACCAAAGCAGAAGGTATGATGGGAATGAAGGCTGTGATGAGACAACACCAGAGCAGGGGTGAAACRCAGACCTGGAAGAGCATATTGAGGCAGAGCGAGGCTGCCACGGTGGCAGAGCCTCCCTGGACCTGCCTCCCTGGGCCCATCTCTGCCTGCTTAGGAGGGAGAGCAAAGTCTACGACTTTAAYTGCCTCCCTACTTTCCAGACAACTCTTTTGGACACGGAAAGGGCCTCTAAGAGGGACGGGCATTGGGAGCAGACCATGGGGAAAGTGATGGAGGCAGAGGCACGTGATGGGCAAGTGATGGAGACAAACCAAAGGCAAGGCTTGGTAGAGAAATGGGTCCCATGCCATGGAGGAGGGGGCCCTTGGCACGGCCAGCTTGRAAGATAACTCAGGAGAAGCATCATCCCCAGTGTGCCACCAGTAGTCCTGAGTGCTATGCCATGGGTTGAGTCCTCAGGGGAGAGATCCCAGCACACCAGGAAGCTCACATGGATTAGGACAGGCAGGACTGCCAGGGAGACTCACCAAGAAGCCACCTCACACAACCATCTCTCCCACATCAGCCCCTTTTGCTCTCCAACACCATCAGACCCCCTGTTTCCTCCCTKCTAATCCTCCCACCTCAGGGCAAATATTGCTCATGTTTCTGGAAGGTCTGGGCCTTCTGCACAAAGAAACTCCTCCAAGGGCATAACAGCTCTTGGGATCCTCCAAGTCCCTGCAGAACCACTAATAGCAATAGGGCAATACTCCTTCCATTAAAAAATAATAATAATAATAAAAAAACCCTACTCACGTTCACAGAACTAGGGCTTCTCTTATCTTCACAGCTCCAGCTCTGCTTTAAGTGAAAGTAAACTTGTCCCTACCTTCTTTGCAGCTGACAGCTCATTGCTGCCCTAAATTTAGAAGCACTTTGCTTCGGCTCATGCCATGGACTTGTTTGCCATTTTCTGTGTCTTTTCCATCTTTCATTCAAAAAAGTCAAATAGAAATATAAAACAGGCAACAAAACCATAAAACAATGCTCTACACGGCACAGGAGCAGGGCTGTGTGCGTGCTCCCAGCACACTACCAAGGGCTCGGGAGCCTTCCCGAGCCCTGCCTGCAGATAACCCTGCCTCCAAGGAGGCTCGGCAGGCTGAAAGGATGCTCGTGGTAGCTGTTGTGCTCTCAAAATGCCAGGAGTTGTTACCCATTTCCTGCTGGGTGCCAGTTTTAAGTCTCTGCGCTGCAAATCACCTTGTCCCCACTCTGCTGTTATTTTCTTTACGGCTGTGATTTCTGAAGAGCACAAAAAGAAATTAGTTCCTACACGGGTTCTCGCCTAACTATGAAATACTTGCCTATAACAATAAAACCTAGAATTACAATAGCCAGGAAAGACATTTTGAGAGCTATTACCCATCACGTCGCAGAGCCACCAGATGGGAATAAAATAAGAAATTCCTCCTCTGGAAAGCTATCCAGGTTACATAATCTTTCTTCCTGGTATTTTGCCTTCTGTCACACGAACAACGCTTGGAGGACCAGGATATCTGCTTTCGGTAGCAATTCCTGCCTGCCTACCTTCTAAATAAATATTTGGAGCTTTAGGAGAAACTGGAGACTTGGTTATTAGTTCACTGACAAGCAACCACAGCTCTGGTATCTCAGCTTGGGAGKGTTGACGTGACCCACGGCGCTCGGGCCAGATTCTCAGCTAGGGTTCCCAAACAGCAGGTAGTCTGAGCGAGTACTCCTAAAAATAGGAATTGATCTTCCCCCCTTTTTTTCTTTTTTTCTTTTTTTTTTTTTCTGCTATAAATACAGCCTCAGCCTGTAGGTGGAACTTCCTGGGGTGAGGAGACACACAAGCACGGATGATACCAGCTGTTGCTCTAGCTGAGACAACGGTGTGTTTTTATTTACCCCAGGGGAGGTGGTGCTTAACCTACCTGCTCTTGACAAGATATCCTGGTAAGCGGCAGCTGCAGAGCTGGGATTGCAAGCTTCTCCTTCCTGCCGTGCTGTTTTACTGCRATCTCTTGTTAGACGCACGCAGTCATTTTGCTTACAAGCAAAACAAATGTTCTTCCAGCCCAGATCCTGGTCCTACCAACAGGGACACGACTGCAAACCTGCCTGACCCAAGCGATTGCAGCATATCATGTCTCCTGCCCGTAAGAAGATTTAAAACAATTAATAATTTTGCTGGTCTTTYGTTTTGTTGTTTTAAACTATGAGGACATTATTTTCAGAAATACCCCCCTCCAAAAGCACAAGATCAACCCCAGCTTCTGGACCTTTCAATATCTCACCTTTCTGTTACTAGACTGATGACACTGAAAGCTTTGTGGTTCTAAACTTTACTTTTTCTTATTTTTTTTTTTCCATCAAATGCTAAGATGACCACCTTCAAATGACTTTGGTTCAACAGCAAAAGGAAGAACCCGTATATTTCATCCCAATGYCCTTGGAAATCTATCTGGGATTCCTAAAGGTCACCTATGCTTCCTCCCCTCCCTGAGCMAATGCAAGACGGCTTCTCATCTGCACAGGCTAGCTGCAGAGATTTCAAAATGCCTAATTTCACACTGCATAGAGGAGTGCTTAACTCTATATCCATTAGCAGTGGATGAGTGCCTAAATTGCTTAGTGGTCAAGCACAGAAGCGTTCCTATTGGGAGTCCATGAGTTAAACCTTTGACTTTGAAATGAAAGCAGTTTAACTTCATTTGAGGGCTTAAAGTGAACTTTCCGAAAGTTTGGCTATCTGCCCAGGACGGCAGCAAAATATCTCGCTAAGGGGATKGAAAGAGTAAGAGCTGTGTTGACTTCAGTCTTCAATAGGATTGCAGTTCTCTCTACCCAAACTCTTCCCCTTAGGAAATCTTGACTTTATAAAATGCATGCAACAACAAAAACACAGGTTTGCTTTCAGCAATCTATGGCATCCTTAAATGGGATGACACTAGGGGGATACTCCGTGACAGTCTTATTTATCATGTTCTGCAGAAATGGACCCAAAGCTTGGTTCAAGGCTATGTTTAACTGGATTCATGTTAACAGCTTCTCAGCCCTGGATAAGACTGCTCAGGGTAAGATTACAAGAGTGTCCTTGGTGGCAGACTGGACCCAGAGATACGTTCTCCTCTGCCATGGCCATATCTGTGCATCTCCCCATAGCAACTTACCTTTGGTGCCCTCAAAGGAACATCACATCACTGGCCAACTTGTGCCTAGTAAAATATGAATATGAGAGGCCTGGTCTGAGGGTTGCCCCAGGCTTCAGGTTACTTTTAGAAACATCCAGCCTTGGTACAAGAACTCATTTGCAAGCGATGCTTTTCACCACACAACATCTCTTCTCAGCTTTTTGACTGTAATTGCATTATCTTGGTGACTGATGGCCTGCATGGATGGATGAAATTGGAGGTTAATCTGTATCGCCCATCTCTCTTGATTTCTCCTTCATTTCCATCTCTTTTTAAAATGGAAGTTTCATTAAAACGGCAACACTTTTCCATTAAATAAGTAACAAGAGAAGAATGACTGTCTCTATCTCATCAGCACTAGATCTTTTTAAAATCACTCAAGAGGCAAGACTCAAATCATGTATTTAATAAGAACCACTTCGATATAACTTTTTAAAGCAATTAACATATTATTAGAGATAAGCACGAGATGCAACATTTAGATCCAGATTCCTAAGACAGATTTCTAAGGTTTAGGAGGGGATAGCTCTTAAGTCTTTGCCTCGGCAATCATCTCTGCATGCCACAGTCTGATGTAAGAAGAGAGAACAGAACCTCAGTTACATGGACATAGTAGTTTAAATCCTGGCTTTTAATCCAGATTTTATTAGCGCTGCTTCTCTTCAGTCATTTTAAAGCCTTCTGTGGATGTCAGTGAGAATGGGCAAGCCACCTCACAAGAGYTTCTGCACCACCTGAAGGTGCTGGAGCAAGCTGTTCATTTCCATTGTTCCCTTCCAGTTGGGTGCTCAGACATTCGCTTCCTTTATGGGTTGTGCAGTAAACACATCTCTGAACCTTACAAATTCTTAAAGACTTAAAAGAGCCATCAGCAGCTCATCTTGTGTCTCCCCTGTCACCTGCAGGCAAGTTTACAAATGCAGGTACATCACCCCCAACAGGCACCGTCAATCCTGTGGAGCAAGTGAAGATGCTCCCTGGCAGGGCAGTCTACCCCGTTCTGCCAGAGGCTACGGCCGTCATAGCAGAGCCATGTGACCCTTCCTAACTGACTTCAGGTGACAATCCAGCGTGTTAGAGCAAATCCTTCTTTCCTGGTGGCTGAGGCACGTACCATGAATGACCATAGTGGAGGTGCAGCTGCACATTCATCTCTGCTGACTGCGTCTGGACAGAAACGCCCGGCAGATGGAAGGCTGCGAGCAGCAACACCTTACACCATCACAATTAAATGTGACAAAACCCATCTGCTGGCGCCCTGAGCACTGGCAGCACTAGTGCTCAACCTGGAATCCTGAATTACATCGCAGGCAACATCCAAGGGCTTCTTGGTTGTTTATCCCAAAACATTCAGGTTTTTCTCAGCATAATGCACTATGTGACCTCACTGATGACTGACAGCAAATTAGTCGCCCAATTACAGTGCATTTTACTATTTGGACCATTAATTATGAAGTCACAAATACCCCAGACCTTCCTGGAGTCCACTTCAACAGAAAATACTTTCCTTAAAAGGCAACAGCATATGCAAGGGGAAATACATCATGCATCTGAAGACACTGTGGTCATGTTTTTTTAAGTGCTAAAATTTATTACACAAGAGATGATGCAACAGCGAGTAAGAGAGCGAAATTTCACATTGACTCCCTACTTTGCAATCCAGGACAACTAAGTTTTACTTCATTAAGGAAGGCAAGGAAAAAATAAAATCAGAAACCACTCCGATGGATGAGGAAGTCTTGTCAAGCAGAAGTGAACGATCGGTCCTGCGTGATGCTCAGATGCTCATTGCTGTAGAAGGAACAATGAAATATATCTGCTTCTGTTCAATAAATTACTAAAACATCAGTTATAAATCTGCTGCATGGCATTGAAAATTAAACTTATTAAACATCAAGGTAGCTTCATCCTGATGCAAATGGAAGACAGGCATGAGTGCTCTGCAGCAAACAACTCTGCACATCCCCTCTTTGGGAATCATATTTACACATACCTCTCATATATTAACATATTTTAGTGCACCCTAGCCAGAGGGCAACCAGAAAAAGTATTATTCCATGAGAAGGACAGGAGATGGGCTAGCTTCTCCCCTCCAAAGAATGAAGCCTGCTGTGGACTAGTCTAGCATCCACGTAAAACAACAAGGTGCACGACCATGTTTCCCATTCTCAGTCAGCCAATGGTCTCCCATGGTGGCTGGGTAGATTCCTGTGGACCAGAAAAAGCAGGTGAGACCACCACCACCACCACGTTGATGGAGAGTTAAACCTCAAGCAACTGCAAGGYCAAGAATTTCTGCCAAACTGGTCTGTTAGTCTCTTCATCTCCCTTCCTTTATTTCCCCATCCCTCAGAAAGACTGCAGAAATAAACCTTTTTTTGGCATGGGCCTTGGCTGACCGGCAGGACAGGTCTCTCAGGAGGAGAATTACATCACCACAAAAGCAAGGAGACTATTACTATTACTACGAATGTCTTCATTTAGAGCGATGATTCTTTGAAAACAAATCCTACAGCCTCCATAGGAGGGAAGCCTGAGCCTTTCGTGTTACCTCTCCTCAGGATGTTCCATGCTAGTACATCCATCCTCAGTTTTAGGAAAAAAAAACAAAACCATAAAGATGGGTCACTAAAAGGCCATTCCTAGACCAGCTGCTCAGCTGGGAGAGCAAGGCAGTTCTGCAGCTCACCTGGCTCCCAGAGGAACAAGTGACCAACTGTTGGGTCACCAATGGGCAGGAAACATCGTGCTAGACCTCCTAGACTCCAGGCTAGTGGACCAATCCCAAAACGGGCAGCGGGCCACAGCCTGAGCCAGAGGGCAACAGCCTACGTGACAACATCCAAGGTCTTCAGCAAGGGGGACCTTTTCAGGACAGTCCATGGGGGAGCAGGACCCACACTTCATGGGGCTGGCTTGGTCAACAGCAGCAAGTGTGTGTCGGGAAGGAGGCAAAACGAGATCAGTATTTTAATTCTGTATGATTTTGTGTAATGATGTCCAGGACTAAGGGTGGGGAAACAAACAAACAAACAAACAAACCCCATGGGAGCTACAGAGGGATCTTTGAGGGCTTTGAGTTAGAAGAGGCAACTCCAAAAATCAAGGAAGGGGCTGGTGGTAGCAGCAGTAACAAAGAGGACAGAAAGAGAGGACTAGCAGAACACCAAGTCATTTGAATGCAGGCTCACGTTGGAGCTGGGTGACCTTTCCTTGCACAAGCCCACACGTGTTCTCACTTGCCAGGCAGGTAGGTCCAAGGTCTCCTACTGTGACCATGGTGTAAACCTACCTGGCCCTYTGTAAGAGCTCCAAGTCCTCTGGGAATGTGAGCGTTCCCTGTCAGTAAAATGATCACAAGACTGCCCGAGCTTATTACAGTCATTCCAGTGGAAATAACTGATACCTTTTAGAGTGCTTGCTAGAAGAAAATAGCAGTTCTGACCCAATTTCACTCAGTTGGAATCAGCTGTGGGAGACTAATATACAATAAAAATAAAAAGACACAAATGCCCATTTTCCCCATGTCCTCTCCTAATAACATGAATAAAGCTCTGTTTTGATACTTCTTCYTTTCCAGAGGAGTCCATTCTCAGCAGTCCAAGTCAGCTGTGTTTCAAAGAGAAACTTCCTCCCTTTACTTGATGAAATTTTTAATGGTCCATCTTTGTCCCGTGCAGCTACGAAGAATGAGATCGATGCCGGCCATTCCTCTGTTCTCCACTTCCAAGCAGCGTCCCGTTCCCTTGTTCAAGATGGCACCATTCTAAAATTAAAGACATGGATAAATATGTAGTCTGTGAAGCCARCCAGGACAAACCACTGCCCAGGACGGAGACTATGTCCTTGCACACTGCTGGAAAGCACACAGCACTTACTTGAACARTCACGCAATTAAAATAATAATGACAACAACAAAATAATTTCTCAAATAAAGAATGAGAGTTAAATGGAGCAACCTTCAACGCCGACTACAAGTCTCTAGCACTTTAGTTTGGGACAGAGGTACCGTGGTTTTATGGATCTGCTTTAGGTTATGTATCACAAAACAAATGTGGAAGTCAGCAATGGAGCCAGACCACATCCCACCGATGGAAAGGGAAAGGCAACCTGAAACCACTCCTGTGTTACTGCCCTTACCTCTGATTGCTCTTAACCTTCTCTCTTTGCCTTAGGATCTCCAAGGGGTGCATGGGACCATTTTGTCTTTGTCTCCCTCCCAGCAACAAAGAGGTCCCACATCAAACACAGTGTGACACAGGCCATGGGTATGGAGGCCGAGAGCAGACCCGTAACAAACCTGTATGAAATTCCAGCGCTTATGGAGACTGCTCTTGACCTTTTCGCAATCGAGGAGCTGAGGGAAACGACTTTTCACATTATCCACCAGGCAGCGGGTATCGGGTAGAAGAGTTGTGGTCCCGAGGGCACCAAGATGAAGGAACCCCTCCTTGGTGTAACGTGCAAGCTGCAGGGCAGGGAAGAAGACAGCRACTATCAGAAGCTTTCATGTGTCATTGAAAAGCTCTACAGAAAATGACAGCTATGCAGAGCCCCAGGAAAAACCTGTGAGGATGGTACATGGAGAAAGTAGAACTGACAGAAGGAAAAACAAAAACAGCAAAAGCCTTCTCTAGCCTTCTTTCCCTGTTATTTTCTGGGATTTGTTGCAGATGCAGATGAGCAGCTGGGGGCAGGGAAGGGATAAGAATAACTCTGAGCCTTAACTCCATCACAGAGCTGATGCCTCCAGCCTCCTTTGAGCCTAACTGCTCTGCAGGTTGAGGTGGCTGATGACTTCCCGCAGGATTTCAGATGGAACCAGCTGGGTTGGGCCCGCTGGGTTGCCTGTCCTCTGCTTGGCAAGACAGCCTTGCTCTGGCCTGTACACGATGCTGCTGATAAGCTCAGAGCAGCCCTCCAGCAACTGCAACAGAAGCCATGCAGAAACATTGCCTGGAGAGATCCAGTGCATCCTTGGCCCCGTTCCCCAGCAATGCAAGCCCAAAGCTCCCACCCAGTCTGAGCCTGGAGGAGAGGCTCAAGAGCAGGATCGCATCTAAACTCTGGCAACCTCACTGGCACCCGACTCCAAACCCCTGCAYGTGGGACTGTCTCTGCTGCGGGACGGAGGGAGGTCTGCAGCAGCAGGGAGCTCGGATGGCTCCGAGGACACTCCAGCAGCAGCACAGCTGGCGTGGGGACAGTCCCACCACCTCCCCAGCTGCTCCAGACACAGGGCCTGGGTGTTCGCAGTGTTTAAGGAGTGACACCAAAATATTCCCCTCAACGCATTTAAATTCAGGAGTGAAAAGAGATGAGTGACAGCAGCCTGCCTTTACAGTCAGGGGAAAGACAGACACAGCTGCTTATTTAAATTATGAATCAATCTATTATCTAGCGGACAAATGAGGAGTATTCAGCACGTTAATTAACTGGGCATATCTGTGACCCAGATGTTTAAAAAGAGGCAGCAAATCACCCTGTGAGTTGGGGGTTATCTGTTAGAATAATTAAACACTGAAAATGCAGTTAAAACAATGTCAAAGGGTCCGACTTGAGCAAGTAGCAGCAGATACTGTTATGATACTTGCACTGGATTTTGCTTTCTTCACTGTGTTGGCTGTAGGTGTGCTTGATGCTCCGACTGGCCTTCATGCCTGTCCCTCSTCTTCCCTGCAAAGGGCGCCTAAAGCACAATGTTCTATCCTCTTTCTGAAATATTTGTTACCAGGCCCACAACTAGCATGATAAACACTTACATTTTTTTTTATTATTATGTTTGGCATCATGTCTTTAGACAGTTGGCCTGATGCCCACAAGGCAACATGATTTCTACTCTTACATGYTATCGCCTAATGTGGTGGTAAAAATAAGTAGAGCAAAAATCAAATCTTTCCTGAGGAAGGGAGCAGGAAGACGGGGAGGGGAGAGGAAGCTGCAGGGAGATGAAATGAGCTGAAAAACAAACATGGATATTATGAAAAATGCATTAAGTGCATCTATTAGATGTGTCACCTACGATGTACAGTAGCCAGATAAATAAAACCCAGGACACGCTTCTGGATCCAGCATACTGCATAATGCTTGATCTACTTCCCTGTCAACCAAAACAGAGCTTGCAGTGACAACTGCTCCAGGCTTCCAAGCGTTTTCCTTCTCAGCACTTCAGTACTCAGAGTGACTATACCCCAAAAACCCAGTGACTTACAAATACAAGTTCCTAAATCCTATAACCATTTTGGAAAATGTTGCCTTTGATATCTTACTCTTCGTTTCATTATTTTGTTCTATTCAGTAGCAAGTCCACTGTGGCACTGTGACAGCTGGCAGTATTAATTATAAGGCACAAGGAGGTCAAGGTTTTAAGAGAAAAAAGAAAAAAAAAAAAAAAAAAAAAAAAAAAAAAAAAAAAAGAAAAAAAGAAAAAAAAAGAAAGCCCATCCGTGATCCTGCTACCTTGCCCTTCCTTGAAGGATACGAGGGAAGAAAACCCAGAGCGGAGCATGCTTGACAAGTGACTGCATGTCTCGCGCCAGGCACAACCTCCTGTGCACAAAGGCACAAGAAGGCACCCTCAGAACACCTCAGAGACATGATCATCTTCAGGCTGATTTGGGGAGCAGACCTTCAGTGAGCTCATACTCCCTTGGAGGTAAGAGGAWTTTCCTTCCTAAGGTGCAGCTTATTTGCACCTGAAACCAGCCWTGCCCAGATCAAATCTCTTCTGGTACTGCAACAGCTTATCCTGTTGGACTCCTTATTTAAATAYTGAATATCTAAATATTGAATACTGATATTGAATAAAAACACTTCATAATACTAACATTACACATTTCAATGTTATTAAGACACTCGGAATGGTTGCAGCAATTCACAGTTCAACAACTCATCACTTCCAACACAGTTGCCCTCTCAAACCTGGCTGGCACAGTCCCAAACACCGATCAACAGCAAATGTGATTGATGAGATTTTATCTGTTGGCTACATATGAAAGCTAAAAGAATGAAGACTAATAGTGAGAGGATCCCAGCTGATCAATACCGACAGTGCTCATTGGGATAGTCACTATCAGTGCAAAATATCCGAGGCCAGACTGTGCTTCTTGGCTGAAGGAAGTACAAGAAGGGAATGCAATGAGCAGTCAGCAACCACAGTGTGGCCCTCRAAGTCTGTCCTCTTGTCTGGGAGACTTTGGGGAGACAGCAGGTAGAAAGAAAAGGGATATTGTACTTACAAGAAACAGCTTCTGCAAAGCACTGAGCTTTGGGTAGATCCTCAGTCAGGACAGGATTTCAGCAGGCTCCTTCCAAGTCTTTGAGCACTCTGCTCTAAGTTTATTGCCATCAACACCTAAGCACTGCCTTCCTCCACAGGAATTTACTCCAGTCGTCTCACAGCAACTAAACAGTCTTTGCCCTGATTCTTCTCATCCCAGGTGAGCTCTTCCTGTGGCCTCCAAGAAGGCTCCTCAACCTTCCTGCAGGACCTCATCAGTTTTCTCCTCTGAGACATGGTACAAGAAGAACAGGAGGGAATGATCTTGATTCTCTCCCTGCCAAGCACACCTGGCACCCTGAAAATACCCACCTACATCAGCAAGCATCTAAGCAAGGTTACTGTCTCAGAGATGCAATAACTATTTTCTAGTCACCAGCAATTTCCTCATACTGTCAAAACGGTGCTTGAAGATAATGAGAGTTTCCCATTTTCGCAGGAAATGGTTACACTGACAGAGAAGGAAATTTTACTTAAGTGTAGTCCAGGTGCGGGAAGTTAATGACAGACCACGTAATACAATCAGTTATAACTAGTGGTATTTCATGTAGTAAAACTATGTTTTCTTGGCTTTGTGAAAAGGCTGGTCACTGAAATCTTGAATTCTTTCCTTCGTAGTGATCTGTTCTGCATCTTACCTGTTAAACAGGTTTCGGAGCATGCAGAAAACAGACCAAGGATGGAAGAAGCTGAATGAACGAAAAAGGATATAAATAATTCAGCAGAAAATAAACCAAATACAGAGACACCACCCTGGGAAAACATCTAAAGGAATTATCAGACCTCACACGTGCCCACAGGCAACCCCTGGCCAYGTGGGCACGCGGCTGGGTGCCTTGCTCAGCCTGCTCTCCCACCGGGACACTCGCAGCGCGTCTCCCTCGCTGATCGGCTCCGGCTCGCTGCTTCCCTTGYGACAGCAGAAAGTTAATTAGACTGCTTAGGAGATGGGAAATAGAAAGCCTTGATGACCTTCATGGACTCTATCGGAAAATAATTTAGGGTTGTTTCGTTTCTGCAGCGAGCAGGTCATCAATTYGTAACTATAAGCAACAAGTACAGTATTTTCTCTTTAACGCAATTTAATCCAAGGTGCTATTTTGTCACCCTTGACACTGCAGTGTCCTGGATGATCTCTGTATTGATGTCTTTGTCCCCAAGTTCTGGTGCTCAAATGGGCAAAACATATTTTAGCCTATAATTACATGAAATGTTCTGCCGGGTGAACATTATCTTAAGCTTTATAGTATTATGGCTCTTTCTATCATGTTAATATATCAGCACAGCTCTGTCACTCCAGTGAGGTATTACTATATTATTAGTGTAATACATCATTACAGCAAGGTATTTTCATGATGTATCACTTAAAAGATGAAGCCATCAGAAAAGGAAAAAAAAAGAGAATCCAAGAGCAGATTCAATTTAATTACAGGCTAAGAGGATACTTCATCATGAAATCTGATCATGATTTAACCTGGAAGTGAATGGAAAGCGAAAGGGAAAATAAACAAATGAAAAAAGCAAATAAAAATTCCCCCAGTGAGGGATGCTAAAGTTACTCTGAGCAAAAGCAAAGAACTAATCCACGGTCAGCATTAGGCATGAGACTCATYTCCTCTAGCTCCATCCATCTGAACGTTACCTGCTTAGCTCAAACCATGTATCAGTCATCAGTGCGGATCGAGCAGAGCCTCGAGATGTGACACGTGTCACCATGCCTCGAACAGGACCCATCTCTGAGGAGAGATTCATCTGCTGTGGAAAAAGCTTAAGAACCTAACTTATGGGGGACCATTACTGGCTAATTAGCTGATACAATTTAAGAGCAAATCCACCCAATCTGTGCAAAATTCTGGCTCCCAAGTCACACTAGAAAAAGCAACCTCAAAGGCCCCAGGTCACCCTAGCAGCAACTGGCTGCCCCGTTTACAATTATGAACATTGCCTTTTTTGTTAAATGCCTGCAGGTCACTGAAACACTCAGATTCAGGCTGAGCTCATTATTTCCTGTTTTGGGAACCTTTTCCACCTCCATAGCTCTCCAGGTCGCTTACCCCTCTCTGCCCCGGTGCCCTTCCCTCTGGAGCAGTGGATGATATGCAAGGCAGGAGATGCAAGAGCAGGAGCTGTTGTGCAGCACGGTGATCTACTGCTTAGAAACAGCCAGAATTTGTAACCAACCCCACAGCATCACAGGGGCTGCAGGAAACACAGCAGAGTCATGGGCTTGCATTGCTCAAGCGCCATCAAAAACCCCGGAATCTACCCTCTGCTTTCGCTGCCATTGAGGAAGCTGCTTCATAAAGGCAAAATGGATTTAAATGCATGTGTGYGGATGAGCCATAGTGTCAAAAAAGGAGACGTGGAGATTTGAGACAGCCACACTAACAGTGACCACAGGCACCACCTCACGTGCTTTTGGGTGCTGGAGGACCAAATAGGAATCTCCAGTGCTTGTGTTTTGCATACATATGGCAAGAGAGCTAATTAAACAAAGTGTTTACAWCACTTCTAATTATATTTCCAATAATAAATCAGCATACTCAGGTCATTAATTAAACAGTGGTACTAAAAGTCCAATTTTCTCCGTGCAGCACCTGTATTTTTGCAAAAGGCTAATTTCAAAGCTTCTGCGTTCACCGATAACTGTTTTAAAAAGGCTTTTTCAAGGAGTTAAATTAATTGTATGCACTGTGAAAGAAAAGAAGTGCCAAGAACTGGCTCTCAGTTGGAGAGGAAAGGGACCATGTGGATACGGAAGAACAGCAAGAAAAATCTGAGTCGAGCTTCTGTGACAGACAAGATGAAGGGAACCAGAAGCAATGAAACATTTTTCTTTAGAACATCATGCAGGAAAAAAAAAAATCATTAAGTTTAAACACAAGAACAGCTGAAGTTAAAAAAAAAATCACTTTTAGCCATTCATCTTAAAGCTCAGCAGACATTGCCAGACGAATTCAGTTTCCCATACTAGAGCATGCTTGGAGGTTTACATTTCCATAGGGAAAGTGCAGTACTCCAGGTACATACATAAAACCCAGTGGCAGCCATCGAGAGCATTGCTGGATGAAGCAAAAATTTCTACAACAAGTGCCAGCACTCTGCACTTGTGCACCTGAGAGGCCTGAGCTGCTTTTGGCAAAGGARGAAAACATCAAGATCATGGCCTGATTCATAAAAAGATATGTGTCTTAAGACGGCTATTCTACTTCAGACCTAATAAAAAAATTGTTATACATTCTCCTTTAAGATCACAAGGAGAAGGACGTTCTGAAAAGGGATATGGCATGAAGAGGAGATGACCACCAGGCATGTAAGAAAAGCCAGAAGACCACAGGATTTAGGTAAAAGACTAATGTTGAGCACATAAACACAGGGGGGCAAAATGGACAGGAAATGCTAACAGGAAAATTGTAATATTAAAATTGTACAATTAACGCCTGGAGCCTGCAGATCCTGAAAGCACTGCTCCGAGTTCTCACTGCTGGTTTTAACAATGATTGCATTTACGCAGCTAGCATTCCAGCTGAGTTTCTCTCAAAATAGTCATTTCAACCCAATGGCTACCAAGCCAGCAGCTTTCCAGCTCTGTAAGGATGTTGTTTTCTTTTTCTAACATAATGCAAACCAAAATTACACAAAGGTCCCATAGCCATCAACTCTCAGTATTTGACATCACTATTGCTCTAAAAGTTAAGACATCTAGAGGAAACCTTGGAATCACAAGTGTTGGTTTAGAACGAGCTTAAAATTGAAATTAAAATAAAGACAGAAGAAAGAACAGGTAGAAAACTACAGCTAAATCTGTGCCACATTGAAATAGTTATTATCCCCATCAGAAAGCACTCTTCGTTTTGTTTTCCAAGTGTGCACCTTTGACTCAGTGGGTAGAAGAAGAAAGGAAATGCCTTAAAAATGCCCTTGCTTGTCATAGGTTTAGCTCTGCGGGTTGGCTACTTGCATTCAGCGTTATTTACTCTTGCCTGGAAGATTTTTTTTTTTTTTTAATGCTTTTACAGCTCTGGCATGATACTGATAATTTAATACAGCAAATAGCTCTTAGAGTTGCTGGAAAAAATGCTCCTTTTTATATGATTTTTAAAAAAAAAAAAGGCACAGCCAATGGAGCGTGGAGCAGCCTCTGCCAGCTCTGGTTTGGTACTTCTCCTGTGTGCAGGAAATCCTCACCTGAGGTCCCCAGCCATGGCATGGATACAGTATCGCGGTGTGGTTCTCCTGGGGGCCCTGGTCAAGACACACATCTTTTGCCTTGTTGTTTCGAAGCTGTGGGAAGAAACACAGCGTTAGGTGGTCCTGTCTGACTGAAGGTGAGCTTCAGTAACATCTCTGGCCTCTCTCATTAAAGAAAGAATATACGTTACTGTATCACTGGACACATGCAGGCACAGATCAGTAGTCCATATAATGCTTCTTTTTATATAATAACTCTCACTCCAGCCAACTTTCTTGATCACAAGATCAAGAAAGTCTTTAGTCATGTGTGGTGGCAATAAATGAATTTTTAGACTGACACTGGCATGTGGTCAGGAGGCTGGAATCAAGCTGGTATTGCTTCTATTTCATCAAAATGGAAATCTCAAAGAGCTGAAAAAAGCAGAAAAAATAATCTAACATAATCTAACATAATGAATTCCTCTGAATCATTGTATGGGTGCAGGGAAGACAGAGTTGACAAACCAACGGGCTGGGTGTTCAGGGACTTGCTTCGAAAGGAGCACGAAACCCAGCTGAATTCATGTTGTACAGTGAAATAACAACCGAGTTCCTGAGTCTGGTTAATGCCTGGATGTCTTGAGTCTCCCCACGTGAAGCAAGCGAAATGAAGTATTGTCTTTGCAGAGATTACTTTGGGGGAATTTAGCTGGAAATCATACAGTAAGTCTGATGAGAAAATTTTCCTAAATTTTCTCACCTGCCGTGCTGACCTGTCTCCAACAGGTCTCCTCAAACTGTCATGATCAGGCAGAAGTGATCTAGTGGAACTGAATATCATTGTTTCCCATAAAGGCCTGACTTTATGGTGCTGCTACTGTCTTAAAGCCAGTATGTACCGAATTAAGTCGTCTTACTTTATCTCAGCCTTAAGCTGCTGCGACAAGGCACTGTATCTTGCAGAGAGCATGTAAGGAACCAGGCTGAGGTTTAGGCAAAAGGCTTTATGTAAAGAATATGTATTAAAACTATATATTCAGCAGCTTAATCCCTGGAGTCAGTGGGTAATATAGATAATTTTGTGTCAATTCAGTAAATAAGGTATTATATTCTATTGTGTATGTATCTCCAGGATCAGAAATAAATCCTCACAGAGGTTTTTACAAGAAACTGCTGACATATTTATATACATTTATATAACTATACACAAACAGAGGTTTTGATTCACACTTATCTCCTTCAAGGCTATTTCTCATCAGAGCATCAACARTCATAAATATTCTCAGCCTGATGCAAGGAACCCATTGGCCTTAATTACCTCGCCGTAAGCAATGGTGTTGTTGTATCTCCTCATTTCTGGATAAACATGGTCCAGATACCACTGGAAGTTTTTGCACTTTAAGCTCTTCCTTAATGCTTTTCTCTCAGAGACATCCCCAATGTCAATACCTGGATTCTGAAAAAACAAAGACAGAGCATTGCAGTGAACAGTTATTCTTAAGGGAGAAAAAAAAATAATAAATTTAAAAAAGATTGCACTTTACTGATGTTCCCTATCGCTTCCAAGCAGCTTGCAAGGTACCAAAGGTTGCTTGGCTCAACACACAGGCCATGGCAAAGCTTTTTGGSATGGGCTCCAATACAGAAATCATCATGACAGGACATCAAGTGGAAGCCCTGTATTTCACAGTCATGGCCATGAGAAGCATCCTCCCTTGGCAGTCCCCTAGCAGCCACCAGGCTGATGCTGGGCACATTTAAGCTGCACATTTAGAAATAAGAACCCMAGTGGAGAAGACAGAGGAAAAGACCTTGTGCAGCAAAGGGGAACCTCTGCATAGATTCCCAAAGGCTTTGGATCAATCTCAAGAGGAGACTTGTCCAAAGGGCACAATGCCAAAATATATTTCAAAGATCTCACCTCTCATTTAGGAAATAACATACTGGATTTCCAAAGGAGCRTCAAAGCAAATACAAACTGTGATTTAAAAGGTGGCCATGGGCTGAGTCCTGGAAAAGCAAAGCCCTCTCCGTACACTCAGCTCTAAAACATCTTCCCCTTGCACGCTAAAGACGTGGGACTCTGCTGGGAGGCGACAGAGGGGACAGCTCGGTTGGAAAATATGAAGTAGGGAGGGGGCGTAGGGAAGAAGGAAAGGTTTAGGATTCAAATATAATAAAGGAGGCAGATAGCTAAGAATAAAGGCTAAAATTACAGGAGAATAAAAGTTTAGATTGAACCTCTGAAAAATCTCTTGACAATTTGGACAATTATGCGGAGAAATCGTCTCCCTGGAGATACAGTGGAACCCCACTGTTAATGCCAATTTAAAAGCGGATAAAGCTGCAATATCCATCCCGGTGGGAATAATCTTGCAGGGGCCAGGAGCAGCGACTGAGGACCACAGCCTCTATTAACCTCTTATTCCATTACAGAATCTGGGCAACTAATGGGCAAGCCAGGTGAAAGGAATTCAGTGCAACCGCTTTTATTCCTTTCTACAGGTAGCTGCACTCCTTTGCTTTTTTAGCTCATGCTCTTGTCTTCTCCAGCGATCATTAAATAGAGCTGGGAAAGCAATTTTCCATTACAACACCTGTAATGATCTTCTAATGAATTATTCACTCTGCTTTAGAGAAGACACCGCTTTAATGCGCTACTGCTAGCTCACAGGTAGAAGTAAATATGATTCAGTGCAGACAGGCTGGACGGYCTTGAATCTGAAGGGGTGAAATGGGGTAGTGAGCTAAGCTGGTCCACAAAGGAGTCAGAGCTTGAGGTGCATGCACACCGTGCATGGCTTTTGCTCCATTTTGTATATGATGGCATCGCAAAATAATTCAAGGTACCTTCGCATCTCTCTGCAAGGTATCGCCTGTCAAACAGAACCTCTCTAAAATTAAATCCACACAATTTTCCTGAAAAGAGCTACAGAAAAAACACTTTTTTTTTTGTTTCCTCACTGCACCCTCTTGCACCTCTAAATGCCACAGGAGTAACCTTTCCTGAAAAGCTTTTAAGATTTTTAAGTTTCTCAAAACACCAAGCCCCCAGCAATAGTGTTCCCAGCCAGCTCTGTGACAGGATCAGATGCTGTCCTTCCTGCTGGAAGCTCTTTGCTGGCGTTGTCATCTGCTTCAGGTTTGCTTTTGCCACCAAAAGGGCAGATGGAAATCACTGTTTGCAGGGGATCGACCATGGATGTAACATTTTTTCACCCAAGCAAATAATGGGGGTAGCTCTGCTGGGTACCCCTGAGCCCTGGGAAGTCAGGACATGCTCTTGGGATTCGCCATTTGGATGCAGCCCAAGAGCCAAGTCCTTGGAGCTGCATGAAGCCCTCCTGCAGCTCGGGGAGTTTTGCACAGAGGTCCAGGGGAGCATCTAGAGATCCAGGATTTGGCTCTTGGGCGAGGTCAGCCTGCCTTGTGTGCAGGAACTCACAGTCCTCCAGAGAAGATGCACCATGTTGCTACAAAGCAGGATTTATGTGAAAAATGACATACTAAATCTAAGCCAGCCTCAACATTTCTGTATGAAAATAAATACAAGCAACAAAGCTACCCAACCACYGTGTTTCTAGAGCAACAGCTTTTGGAATGTGATCTTATTTTGTGAGCTGCTCTTTTCCTTTCTCTTTCCTTTTGAGGATGGTTTCTACCTACCAGAGCTGCCAGAAAAAGAAATAAAGCTCATTTACTAATATTGGTATCATTAGCAATTTTCTGTCAATGGGTTTTACAAAAAGCCTCTGTCTGCCAAGCAGGGCAAGCTCACAGGGTGTAAAAAGTGAACCAAGGGATAAACACTCTGCAATATAGGTTGACTCTTTAGAAATGATGCAAATTCCAGGGATTCAGCCCAAGTCTGTGGTCTTTGGCAGCATCAAAGCTGTAAGCCAGACTGGCTTCCTAGCTGAGCGTCTGACTGATATTTCAGGCTCTCTTTCACATGGTGGGGGGAACTAAATGCTTCGTAATTTAAGCTCTCGACCCAAAGGAAAGGCCAGCCCAAGGGCAGTGGAAGGGCCGTACCTCCAGCGGCAGGTTCCACGCGATGTAGACGTGCGATTTGTAATCGTCCATCCAGACCTCAGCAACTCGCAGGGCGTTGCGCTTGGTGTAGAAACCGATGTTGTTGTTGTAGGGCTTCTTCTTGCGCTCGATGTGAGCCACCCTGGAACAGGGCAGCACCTCCATGCTGCCCCCGCACAGCCACACCTGCAAGGCAACRGGGCAGCATGGGCATCACACACCAACCGAAGGTTTGACACGAGTTGAGATGGTGCAGGGTGAATTAAAGGGAGGCAAATGGTGGGGTTTGAGGTGTCTGTGATATGCTGACAAAAGCCAACATGGACACAGGAGGCACCATCAGCAGCACTGGGTGGCCAGATTGCCCTCACTCCAGCCATGCACGATAACAGCAAGTCACACGCATGGAAAATTTAACTAGTGCTCACAGCGAAACACATATTGGCTTCAATGGGTCAGGACTCCATCCAGCACCTGATATTAATGTTTCCCAGGCTTTGGTACGGAGTTTACAGAGATGTTTCTCCTAATTAAAAAGGATTAGCGACAGGAATATTGGAAACAATTGCAAGATCTCGCTCTGCATAAGGGATGACTCAGTGGAACATATGGCAGGGACAGATTTCTCCCACTTGAAAACATTTGTTCATTATTTTTTCTTTCACATGCTGTTTAAAATTCCCTTAAATCACAGTTTATAAGTTAATAAAATATTTTCAGATCTTCCTGTTATCTCACAGAAACACAATTTGCATAAAGACACCATCATACCTGAGTTCTGCTTGCCTTCACCAAGAAATTACTTTATTTTATTAATAAAGACCTGTACCCAGGGCTGCCTGGCAACTGGTATAAATACATATGCCCAGTAAGCCTAATAACTCCAGTTTCACCTGTTTTGCAGTCTGCTGTTACATTATCATTTTGCACWGTTGTTATAACACCCATAGTTTCCGGGATCTCTTCCAAGCCCACCACCTTTTAGCCCATCTGCGTTCCCTAATTTTTAATCGACCCTGTTCAATGTGCTCTCCCAGCAGCACCGTGGGCCACCAGACTGCCTGCACCCAAACGTGGTCCCTGTCCCAGTGCAGCCCCCCTCCAAATCCCTACTCAGCCACCTCCCTGCGGAAGGCGCTGAGAACACGCTGTGCCTTGCGACGGGTGAGAGACCATTCAGAACCGACCTTGCTGCACAAGTAGTGTCCAAATCACACGGGGAGACATTTGAAATCAGCTGTTGTGGAAACGATAGCACTGACAGGTAACCATTTATAAGCTCAGTAACAGCTAGTCATCTTTAATAGAATGCTTATTTAGCACACAACACTCATTTTCAACATGTAGGTAAAACAAGTAATAAGCGGTATAGCAACTAAAATTATCTCCTTGCTGTAATCATGAAATTCATACAGTTAACACTGACATTACCCTAGTTCATACGAACCCACCTCCTCAAATCAAGGTCCCATTTCATTAGGTGCTGCATAAGGACAACAACAAAAGAAATCCAGTTTTATCCCCATTCTGCCATTAGACCTTTCTCAACACTTTGGGTATAACGCCAAACTCGTGGGCACACGAGTGCTGAGAATAATAAGGCTGAGAAAAAACCAAACAAACCACAAATTTCTCCTAAATTCTCCTAAACAGACCACAAATTACCATTGTAAGGAAAAAAAATCTAACTGCCTTTATAAGGTATTTATATTTTACCAGCAACAACAGGATCAAAGAAAACTATTATATGGGAAATAGTCAAGGCTGTCTTTTACAGATGAGTAAAGTATGACCGAAAGAAGTCACTTATATCTGTGTGATCCACCAATGACTTTCAGCTCCTGCTGGCCAGAACCATGCATGGACACTCGACCATGCACCAAAATGGTCCAGTGAAACAGGACCCATGAGGACCAGTGCATGCCAAGAGTGTGTGAAGGAGGAGGCAGCCTGCACCTTGCTGCGAATATCAGTGAGAACGACCTCAGACTTCATTTTCTTGGCTTTCATTTTCTTTCAACATGAATGAGCTATGAGCCACTACAAGGACTCAGGAGACTATATGGTTTTTTTTCCCCAAGTCATTGCTTTCCCCATGTCCTGGACATGCATGTCAAGTGCTGCCAGACAGAGGCATATCTCCAAGGCCACCAAGCCAGCAAAAAACGAGCAGTTATCACTCATGTGCTGAGCCACATAAGTGGCCGCTGGGTACTCTAGAGACGAGTAGCCATCCATGCAAAGACTTCTTTTGCCAGTGGGGCAAGCACCAGAAGAGGAGGTCAGCAGTTGCACCTTGGCTGCCAAAGCTCTGTCACACACGAGGCTCAGCACCCCAAACATTTTTGTTCACTCACTGCAGTCAAGGCTCACGCTGAGTCTCTCCTGGGCATACAGATGTTGTCATCACCACCAAGCTACCTGCTGCTGAGTCCCTGCAATAACAGCACTGCTTGGGATCTCAGATCATTAGGACAAGTCTGTTTGTACAGCTGAGAAGGTCCTTGAGAAGCAACCTTTGTTATTTCTCTTTGGAGTGGCCTTCTGTCCCACTAAAAAACTTGAAAGAAGACATGGACTTCCTGATTTCCCCATTAATCGTATAAAACAAAGTCATACTCATAGCACTGAAACTTACAATCTGTTAAGATATCTATTTACTGCAAGTAGCTACRCTAACTGCATAATCAGTCCAGCACGGGCTTTCTACTAATTCCTTGGAGAACTGGCTCCACTGCTGAGAAGATGGGCAATCAAGAGCAGCACAATATTAAGATCAATGAGAAAAATATTTTAAGCTCGCTTTGCCTGTTACCACTATTTGTTGCAAAAAGATCAATCACTTCCTTGCAATTGCATGGATARCGTGTATATCCACGCTCCAAAACTCAAGACAGCACATGTAAGATAGCAGATTGAAGATGAAGTCACAAGTTTCCTGGTTGTTTCCCGACAGAAAGAATCAAATTGCAACACAACTATTAGCTTGCCATTCATCTGTCCGTAACAAGATACGGCACCAAAAATAGAAGCATTTCCCCTCCAGTGAGCGATGTGACTCAATAACTTCTCCATCAGTCTAAACACAGCAGTAATCAAAATACACAAAGACACTGGGATTTATAAATAACCCGTTAACATTTATTGAAGAAATCACAGAGAAACAGCTGACAGATCCAGTGCCCAGAGAACTTTGATGTGTTTCACAAGAAGCTGGGGCACGATTCCTTTGCCTCCTGATTGCACAAGCAGAACGCAATTGATGCCCAGATTCAGGAAGGAAAACCTGCGATTGCTCAGGCAGCGAAAAACGGTGGGAGAGCTTGAAACATCCCCAGYAACCCTCCTCCTACAAGCATTTGCTTCCTTGGGGCCAAATTTTGCGTAGCCTGAGATGACCCAAGGTTATATCACCCAGCTTTACAGGGTGATTGCCAAAGCAATCATGACGTGCAGCCCAGTGATGTGCATCATGTGTGACAGAATTTCAACCCAGCTGTACCGCAGTCCAGGTGCACGTACACCACTGCCAGCGTGCAAGCACTCAGCAAAATGCCACGGCAACTATCTCCCCTCCATCCACTTGAGATGTCCATCTGGATTGCACCCAGGAGAGGTTGTGGAGTCTCCTTCTCTCAAGAGACTCAAAACCCACCTGRATGTGATCCTGGGCAACGTGCTGTAGGTGACTCTGCTTGTGCAGAGGGTTTGGACTAGATGGTCTCCAAAGATCCTTTCCAACCCTGCCATTGCTCTTCAGGCTGCTGCATGCAAAACATAAGAGCCATTTTTAAGTCGTTCCTGCAGCGATGAGCAGTGCTTCATAGTCCTTCCTTCCTATTGACAGCCAGAAAGCAAGGACCCACTGCATCTGCAAGAGTTGCCCAGCTGCAGGCAAGAGCAACCCAGGACCATCCTGGTGATGCTAGAGGAAGYGCACATCCTCACTGGTGACAAGGGACAGAGGCAGGCTGGCTGCTCTCAAACCACAGCCTCCAGATGTTCTTTTGTGCYTACAAAAAAGCAGGCTGAAATGATGCCGGTTTAATCCAAGCAGCTCCTTCCAGTGGCCGCAGAAACCGTCTCCAAGGCACTGAGCAGCTCAGCGTTTACTTGCAGACAGCTCCTCTACCCTCAAAAATACACTGTAACTACCACTTTGCTTCGCTCCTGGCTGCCCAAAGTACCCATTACCCCTGAGAAGTGCTAAACACAGCTATTTTTTGACCATCTACGTAACTTTAAAGAAGCCAGGCAGGCAGGAGGAAGTAGCGGAGAAGGATCTGGCACCCAGGAGGCCACCGAAAGCCCGTGCAGCCCCATCTTGCCACCTCCTACTCCTACCTCTCCAGAGGCAAAATTGGCGATTAAAWCATTAACTGTTACCAGTATATTACTTACTGGGATATTTTCATCCAAAAAYCCTAATCAAGGGGCTCATTCTGCTGGGATGTTAGAATAAGGCACAGTATTTGACCCTTCTGCAGCACGTCTTCCCTGCCCCAAGTCTTACCAAGGATTCAGCCTTGCCGTCATTTCTTTGTCCCAAAGCCACACACCTTTCTTTGCAAAAACGAAGCACTTCATCGGGGAAAAAAACACCCTATTGCCTCCTCTACCCTTATGCTGTGCTGCCTCTTCAACTCAATGATATTGCTAATAATAATAATAAAATAAAATAGGGACAGTRGCTATTTTGGATGCTGGATGTCGCGTTCTTGCTGGGGATGGGAGCGACGTCGGCCGCGAATGCTGCCAGCTCCCATTAAAAGCTCCTGACTTTAGTTGTTCCCAACCTGGCCAAATTGTAACTCTTCAGCCTGAAATACATCCCAGCACAGCTCCAGCCGGCGCGCCGTTAATGCAAAGAGACGGGATGTCTAATGGTGTCAAGATGAGTCTGCAAGGGAAACTCTTCAAATCCGAATGCACTGTGACAGGGAGGAGTGGGGAGAAAAAAATATGCTCCGAACTTGCACCGCACAAACTCGAGGCTTTTCAGGCAACAACTTTGCTTCTAAGGTGACTAGCAAAAACGTACCTTAATTAGCAATAGATTTCCCATTTAACAGCTTTGCCTTATCTCTCTCCCTGCTCCCCTTTCTCTTAAAAGCAACTTCATAGTTAAGGGAAAAAACACAATTACTCAGGGCAGCTAAAATAATAAGGAATGGATCAGAACAAAG